GGGCGGCGGAAGACGATGGGGCGGGGGGTGGGGATATCGCTAAGCTGGCGCCGCCGCTGAAGGGGCAGGGGTAAGCGTACGAGTTATGACCTGTGGCTGTTGCTCCCGGGCCCTCAGCAAGCAGGCTCTTATGGAGTGACGCGGCCGAGCAAACGCGCCGCCTGCTGAGCTCGTTGCTGTCTGCCCCCCTTCGTTGCCGGCACGGAAGCACGGCACGTCAAGCTGCCTGCACTGCGCACGTGATTGCCACACAACGTCAAGCCTGCTCGCCACGCCTCCCCCCCCCTCCCACAAAACAGGGACAAGCGGCCCGGTGCGGTCATTGAGGGGAAGGCGAAGCGGTATAAACCGGAGGACGGGCCGGAGGGAACGCAGCAGTATACAGCAGCGCAGGTACGCCGGCACGCGCCCGGCACTGCGGGCGATGCGGGGGCGCAGACCGTGGGCCAGGCTTGTGCTGGGGTGGTGGCGTGGCGTCCCCCGCGATGTCGTGGGCAGACGAGCGGCCCGCGTCGCGCCCTCTGGTGCAGGAGTGCCTGTGGCAAGCATGCGGGTCCAGCGTCTTACACCCTATCCCTGACCTGACAAGAACAAACTCTGCTGCTCCCCAGATCGCGATGCTGGGCGGCAAGCTCCCCGTGGCAGCCGCGGCCGCCGCGGCCGCGGCAGGCGGCGAGCCCGGGGCCCGGCACGACCGCGGCAAGGCCACGGCTGCGATGCCGGTGCAGGACTTCTTGGACCAGGGGCTGGGCGGCGCGCAGCTGCCGCGCAAGCAGCAGGACCGGAAGGAGCGGGAGAAGCAGAAGAGACAAAAGGGGCAGTCGACGCACGCCGAGTGGAAGGTGCGGGGGCTCTCTATCGGGGACGTTGTTGGTCGAAGGGGGAACAGGCATTGCGGCAGAGGCTCGGCAATTGCTGGGCTGTGGTAGCGCCCCTCCCTGGCCCTTGAGTGACTGCCTCCAGTGGCTCTTTCTGCGCGGGGTGTCCCCAGCAACATATCCCTGCTCTCTCGTCCCTTTCCCTCTGCCCTTGCTTGCCCCTGCCCTTGCCACATCGCATCCTTGCACCCTGTTTGATCTCAACCTGAGCTACCCTGCCCGCTCCTATCCTGTGCCGCAGCCCGAGTCTTGGATGGTGCTCAGACAGCAGGTAGGTTTGTTTGTTGGGCAGGAGTGGTTGTGACGACTCTTGTCTGGTTGTAGTGGGGATGGGTGGGGACGTAGACGTGCGGCGCCCTCGCACGCTGCTGCAGTTTTGATGTGTGCGCGTGTTCGCGGTGGTGCTTATTGCGTCACCTGATGCCCCAGTCTTGAGAAGAAGTATGGCAACAACCGGGCCGTTGTTATATATTTCTTGCCTGACCATCCACCGGCGCCCTCTCCTGCTTCCCTGCGCCCGCAACGCCCGCAGTACGATGGATGACGGCTCTGATGGCACGTGACATTGTAACACAGTCTGCCACAGAGGATTCAAGTGCTGATGTGGCAGAGCGGACGGCACATCATAGCATGTAGTGGCCAAAGCATGGAGAAATTGAAACAAATCCAACAAGCCCGCGCAAGGCAGCGGCGGATGGCAGCGTGGCGATGCAAGTTCGCTGTTGCTTGTTTGGGGTGCGGCACAACAACCTCCAACGGGGCCGCACGACGCATCAGCAAACCAGCATGGGGATCATAGCTTGTTGGGGAGGAGGACTCATGACATGTTTTCCAGGTTACCAATGGAAATCAGGCAGCTGTCTGAGTTTTGGCCTGATCAGGCGTTGACCATTGACCAACCGGTGCGATGTTGAGGGGCATGTTGCTGCCGCGGGCTGCGATGCATGTGCCGCGTACAACGAGTGCCTGTCACCGGATGTTAGGCTGGCAAACGCCGTGTTACGGCGCAGGTGCCAGGCGGCAAACGCAGATCAATTACACACGAACGCGGGGCCATCCTGTTTGCAATAATGTCATTGACACCGTATAATACCTTTGGTTGATCCAACAAGACGCAATCACAGCAGCACAAAGCGCTAAGAAATCTTGCTTTCTGCCTCCCACATATATGGCGGCCGAGTGCTGAAACCACATATACATATTTGTAGCTCAATGTACGTGCTAGGCACGCGGCTGCCAGGCAGCGCGCCGTCGACTGGTCGCCGGTGAGTGGTGTGTGCAGCAGCGGCAACCGCGGCGGCAGCGGGAGCGGACGAGGTGGCGGCGTGCAATGATTGTCGGCCCCGCAATCCCCACCCCCTCTCCCTGCGACATGTCGGCATTTGCAGGGCACATGGGCCACATGCAGTGGTCAGCTCAGCCCTGCGCGGCAACGGACCCAGCCGAGACGGCGGCGGCGGGCGCAACCAGGGCCGCAGCACAGGCAGCCGCCCCAACGGCGGTCGTGGCAGCGCCGGCAGCAGCCGCGCGGGCGGCCGCGGCTCCGCACGGCCCGCGCCGGAGCGCGATGCGCGCGCGCCGTCGCCCCGGCACGGCACCGCAGATGGCGGGCCCGCGTCGGCGGCAGCGGCGCCAGAGCTACGAAAAAACGCAGCCCTCTACGGCTCCCTCCGCGGCAGCGACCCCGGCCCCTCTCTCTCCGCC